AATTTTAAAGGTTAAGCTTTTGTATAGATTTGTAGGAAATTTGATTCAAATCAACCTTGAAGACATTTTGTGTGGATACTGGCTAAGAAAATCTGGTCAACAGGTTTGGACAGAAGAAAATGTCATACATTCTTTGTATATGTTTTCTGAGCAATTAGGAGTTTTTATTCCCCAAAGACCTGTACAAATACAGTTCAAAACTTGATAGATTTCACAAATATGTATGGTCTTCCTGTCTCTGAAGTTGGAAACAAGCAATTCCCCGTGTGATCCCATAGGACATGGTTCAGTTATCCACTATGTACAGTTTGAGCCCATTAGGTTATTCTGACACTGATGGAAGATTTGTTAAAGCAGCATAAAACCATACTTACACCCCTTCTTGTTAACTCTGGGTTGTCTAGCTGGACTGAGGAAGGAACATTTGTGAAATGTTTGTATACTGAGGGGAAAGTGGTGTTCTCACTTTACAGTGTAATTAGCTCACCGATTGTGCTGGCTATTGTACAAGTTCCTGTCTCCTGTGGAGGAACTGCCTCAAATCCATGTCTAACAACTCTCAGCGGCAAGTGAGAAGTTATTTTTTCCAAGTGGCAGAAAATTATGTGTCAAGAGAAGAATGGGTGTTGTTTTTTTTTGTGTGTTTTTTTCCTATTACATATGTGGCTGTACATCTACAAGCAATGGTCGCCAGACTCTTGAATCAGGCCTTAGGTGTTCGTGTGTTCTGTCATGTCTGTTGATCTTTCGTGTGATTATTCCTGTAGTAAGAAAGGCTTTTACAGGGATACATAAATGGATAATAATGGACTGTCCACTTATATGGCTGGACTAAATATTTGTTCGTTAAGGTTTATATTGCATTGTAGTTCATTATTTTATATATAAAAAATAAGGCACCAGTTATGATCTGTCTGGTGATAGACACATCAATCTCCTGATTTTCACCTGAACGATCTATCCACTAAACCACCATGGCATATTGGGATGAGATCATCATTGTTAAATTGTTTTTCAATTTCTGTTTGATTTGCGATAACTGTGTTGCAGGGATTGGGATAGAGAACTTTGGGCCATTTTCAGGATTATTAGCCATTTTCTTAATTTAGAATTCTATATTTAGTGAGCAGTCTGTGAGGGTATTCTTGTTGATGCCTTTGTTTTAAGAATTGATTTCTGTACAGTTTTGCAGTTTGGGACCTACAGACCTTAAAGGCAGTGTTGACACGTGAATCCACCACACAGATTTCTCATAACAACCTCTCATTACTATTGTAACATGTGTTATATTTGGGATTACACTTTCTTAGTAAAGTACAAATTCTAGTACTTTTTGAGTTGAGCCCCATCCGGGATTCGAACTCACACCCTCAGAGTCAGGCACCCAGTCGCCAGCACACAAAGTCAGCTGCCTAACCCACTCAGCCACCGCGACTTCCACCACTACTATTGTTTGTTAGTTCAACGGATTGTGAGTGTTCTCACATACTACTGAATCTAGCTAAATATATATACTTTGCTTTCCAACTGTGTCTGTCACTTCATCAATAGAAGTAATGTATACATGTGTATGGTAGACAATGTAGAAATGTTGTGGAAGTCTAAACAAAGCTGTATATGTTCTATCACATGTGAAATGTATGTCCTTGAGCCTATGGACTATCGACTGAATATATCGCTCTCTTTCACTACACAGATTTACACAGGATGAATGTGTTTCCATTTGTCATCAGATGATGGTGATGATGATGATGAGGAGGAGGAGGAGGAGGACGATAAAGATGATAAAGCTTAACAATTTGAATTTTATTTCACTTTTGTAAAATGTGAGTCAAACTGTCATGTAAAATTTTGTCAGGCCAGACATAAAGTAATGGCACAGTCAGAAATGTGAAAAAAGACAAAGTGAATTGCTTCCTAACGCACAATAACAATGAAGTATTGTGTTGTTATCTGTGCATCTAGTGTCTGCAGGGATTGGTGCACCAGCTGTTGTCATGGAGGTGTGCATCACGGCGTTCACACTTCAACATTGATACCACAGACGGGAAAATGACTAACCTTTTCATTGCATCGTTTTAATGAGTGGAAACTTTGTGAGGAAAGCAGACATTATTTACTGCCTGCTGTCATTATTGTGACTGTCATGTCATTTACTTGTGCGCTCATTGACCTTGGGCAGCCTGGTGGTTATATAGTGTTGGCTCTCCATAATAGAAGTTTGGGTTTGATACACAACATCTGTACTTTGTGTGAAGCTCTATTTGGTGTCCCTTACCACGATACAGCTATATTGTTGATAAAAGTAATGTTAAACAATGCTCACTCACTCACTCACTCACTCACTCACTCACTCACTCACTCACTCACTCACTCTCACTCACTCACTCACTCACTCACTCACTCACTCACTCACTCACTCACTCACTCACTCACTCACTCACTCACTGGTGCTGTCAAACATGTTTAGTGCGGAGTGGGGGATATAGTATTAGGCTCCGTCCGTATGTATACACCTACGAATTGGAATATCTTAAGCACCGTTGACTAGATTCTTTTCATATTTGGTACCTATGTTCATCACAGTATGCAAAGGTCCCAGTCAGGTTTGGTCACCTTGACCTTCATTTCAAGGTCACAAGGGGACTTTATTGGTTTACCCTTGTCAGCAAGATATCTCAAGAACCATTCACTGGATCTTCTTCATGTTCTACACCAAGCCTCCTCTCAGGGGAGGCGCAGAGCCCAGTTGATTTTGGTGACCACAACGTAATTTTCAAGGTCACAGCGACATTTTGAAAATTTCAGCATGTTAACCAGCATGTTAAGCTTGTCAGCAAGAGACCTCATGAACGGTTCACTGGAGTTTCTTCATAGACTTTCAAGGCTTCTCTTTTTGTTTTTTGATAAGCAATTTCTTTATTGCTATTTTTGCATATTTCATACACCATGACATTCATGTCAGGGTCAAAGTGAGTCTTGAAAATATTTGTGTGTTTGAACAACAACAGTGCAAGAGAGGTTGATTGGTCATGTTTTTGTTGATATTTAACTTCATCTTAAACTACGACCTTCACTTTCATCACTTTTTCAGTTTGATTTGATAATTTATGTCACCTTAGTGACAATGCTTGTTTAATTAGAATCAGTAGCTTATTGGCTAAAGAAGTACTACCCAACAATTTCGGCCATCATAAGAATCCTGGTATTTCTCATGAAAGTGGAAGAATATGAATCTTTGACCAAAAGGTGCAAAGAAACTGCTTTCATTCAACTGTTTTAATAAAACAAAAGGTTTTGTGTATGTTTGTTCACCTTAAAGATATTGTTTTGAAAATTATGGGTGGCTCAGTAGTGTAAGTCAATTTTCTGTGGAGAGTTGTGTCCCTTCAGTATGCCAGGAACCTATGATCTTCGAGTTTGAATCCTGGTTGTGTTTCTGATTATGTTTCTGGGTCTGTCAGAGCGGTAAATATCTGAGACGTCATGGCGTCATTCCCCAACATTAAGCTGACTTGCTCTTGTAACTGGAGTGAGTGAGTGAGTGAGTTTGATTTTACGCCGCTTTTAGCAATATTCCAGCAATATCACGACGGGGGACACCAGAAATGGGCTTCACACATTTTGCCCATGTGGGGAATCGAACCCGGGTCTTCGGTGTGACGAGCCAACGCTTTAACCACTGGGCTACCCAACCGCCCCCTTGTAGCTGGAACATTGTTCAAGGCAATGTTAAACCAAACTCAGTCGCTCACTGTGAGTCAGTCCTGTATCAATATCCATGCAATTATATCATTGGAAAGGAATAAATATATTAATGACAAGTACTTCAGAGAGGGTCTCCCATCTGATAATTCTACATGTGATTTGCCTACACGATGAGAGACAGTGTCAGCTAAGCCTCCTTATACTATGGTATTCGTTCTAGACCTGGAACGATGTTTGTTTATCACAAACAGGAATGACAAGTGCAGTTTTTTACCCATTGTGCATGTCTGTGAATGTGTAGAGAATTACTACCCTCATGTGTTAGTGTTCAGTGTTGTTGACAGCCATAGGCTTGCTGCTGGAGACTCGGGCTCTGTGCTGGGCAAATATTTGTGCATTACTTTCTTCTTCAACAAGGTGTTATTTTAAGGAATAAAAAGAAAATGTGCTGCAGTGCATAATGTTACTGATTTTTGCCATTGTTTGTTTCTTGGCAAGTCATAGTAATGTTTCCATCAAGTTTCTGAACAAATCGATTCTTAAAGTTCTACAGCAGAAAATAGTATGTTGATATCTTAGTTTGATGCTATTGTACAGGATCTCAAAGAGATGTTTGTCTAAGACTTTACACAATATGATTAATTGCAGAACTAATTCTCTGTTGGTTTAAGGGCGTTGGGATAGCCTAGTGGTAAAGCGTCCGCTTGTCATGCCAGAGACCTGAGTTTGATTCCCCACATGGGTACAATGTGTGAAGCCCATTTCTGGTGTCCCCCGCCGTGATGTTGCTGGAATATTGCTAAAAGCGCGTAAAACCAAACTCAGTCAGTCAGTCAGTATAAACCTTACTCACTGTAAAGATTTAGCTACAGTTGTTTAAGTTTCTTTGTTTGTGACCTTTTTACTTCTGTTTGGCTGATTTTATAAATTTTTCCCTTGCTAGCCTTGTTTCAGAACAGATCTATATTGATGTGACGTCACGTGAATGGAGTTATCTCATTTATTGGAGATGATGTCATTTGTCTGACACAACAAATGATTTTATGTGACGTTATTTAACAATAGCTTCTCAGGGCTGATGTCTTCGCCAGAGATCAAGAAATGTTTTCTCATAAAATAGACGATGGGAATGAGAATAACAATAACAGAATTACAAATCATCCGCCCATCATGAAATAATGTTAGAAGTCCTGACTCACTGATTCCAGCTGCGTAGCCAGCCAATTTTTTCGTGTAAGCCCAATAGGTCGAAATGTATTTTCTGTTTCAGAAATCCATTTTTTCTGTTTCAGGAGGAAAGTTGTATTTGAGAATGAAAGTTCATCTGACCTTGACCTTGGTGGTCTACCTCACGGGCATCAGTGGCCTTGACTTTGGGTACCATGATCAGGCTGCAGTAGAAACATTCCTGACAAACATATCCACAACCTACCCTGATATAACCCGTGTGTACAGTGTCGGGAAGAGTACAGGAGGTACGTATATAATGTATACGTATATCACAGTCTACCCTGATATTACCTGTGTGTATAGTGTTGGGAAGAGTACGGGAGGTACGTATATCACAGTCTACCCTGATATTACCTGTGTGTATAGTGTTGGGAAGAGTACGGGAGGTACGTATATCACAGTCTACCCTGATATAACCCGTGTGTACAGTGTCAGGAAGAGTACGGGAGGTATGTATATCACAGTCTACCCTGATATTACCTGTGTGTATAGTGTTGGGAAGAGTACGGGAGGTACGTATATCACAGTCTACCCTGATATAACCCGTGTGTAGAGTGTTGGGAAGAGTACGGGAGGTACGTATATCACAGTCTACCCTGATATAACCCCTGTGTGTACAGTGTTGGGAAGAGTGGGAGGCACGTATATCACAGTCTACCTGATATAACCCATGGTACATTATATCACAGTATCTACCCTGATATAACCCATGTGTACAGTGTTGGGAAGAGTGGAGGAATATGCGTATATCACAGTCTACCCTGATATAACCCATGTGTACAGTGTCGGAAGAAAGTGCGGAGGTATGTATATCACAGTCTACCCTGATATAACCCATGTGTACAGTGTGGGAAGAGTGAAGAGAATGAGAGGTATGTATATCACAGTCTACCCTGATATAACATGTGTACAGTGTTGGGAAGAGTACGAGTGAATATATAACCATTATATCACAGTCTACCCTGATATAACCCATGTGTACAGTGTTGGGAAGAGTACGGGAGGTACGTATATCACAGTCTACCCTGATATAACCCATGTGTACAGTGTTGGGAAGAGTACGGGAGGTACGTATATCACAGTCTACCCTGATATAACCCGTGTGTACAGTGTTGGGAAGAGTACGGGAGATACGTATATCACAGTCTACCCTGATATAACCTGTGTGTACAGTGTTGGGAAGAGAATGCAGTCTACCCTGAATACGTATATCACAGTCTACCCTGATATAACCCTGTGTGTACAGTGTTGGGAAGTGCGGGAGACGATAGTCACAGTCTACCCTGATATAACCCGTGTGTACAGTGTTGGGAAGATGTATATCACAGTCTACCCTGATATAACCCGTGTGTACAGTGTTGGGAAGAATGCGGGGTAATGCGTATATCACAGTCTACCCTGATATAACCCGTGTGTGTACAGTGTTGGGAAGAGTAGTCTGGAGAATGCGTATATCACAGTCTACCCTGATATAACCCATGTGTACAGTGTTGGGAAGAGTACGGGAATGGAAAGTCTACCCTGATATAACCCATGTGTACAGTGTATATATGTACAGTCTACCCTGATATAACCCGTGTGTACAGTGTTGGGAAGAGAGCACGGAGTATGCGTATATCACAGTCTACCCTGATATAACCCATGTGTACAGTGTTGGGAAGATGCGAGAGGTATGTATATCACAGTCTACCCCATGTGTACAGTGTTGGGAAGAGTATAATATCACAGTCTACCCTGATATAACATGTGTGTACAGTGTTGGGAAGAGTGCGGAGGTACATATATCACAGTCTACCCTGATATAACCCATGTGTACAGTGTTTGGAAGATATAACCACGGTGAATGGAAGAAAATGTATGTATATCACAGTCTACCCTGATATAACATAGTATAGAGTGTTGGGAAAAGTGCAGGAGGTACATATTAGTCTACCCTGATATAACCCATGTGTACAGTGTTGGGAAGAGTTGGAAGTGCATGTATATCACAGTTTACCCTGATATAACCCATGTGTACAGTGTTGGGAAAGAGCACGGGAGGTGCGTATATCAAAATCTACCCTGATATATCATGTCTACCCTGATATATACCCAATATTACCCATGTGTACAGTGTTGGGAAGAGTAAGGGAAGTACGTATATCATACTCTGCCATGATATAACCTGTGTGTACAGTGTGTGTCAGTTGTTGTTTTTGTCTGTTGATAATTTTATGAATGCTTCATTTACTTTTTGGTGATGGGAAACTTTATCATTATATTTGTTCATGATACACATTGTGACTCGAATTTGAATGTATCTGCGTTGAAGAAAAAGTACCCTTAATCACTTCATGTCATTTGTATATCAAGTTGAAAGACAAGTTTTTACCAAGTATTTGTACAGGTAATTCATGTAATGTAGACAAACTTAAGAAAGTTATGACAGATAACACTAGGTCAGAATTATTAGCACTGTTTATTCTACAGTGCACACAAATCAGACAGCGGTATCAGGGCTTGACATTCACCCAAATTCCCGAACAAGACCACAGGATCAGTAACTTTTAAAAATCACTGGTGCTTACATATTCTTTTTGTCAGATTTAAATTTGCACTTGCTTTGTGGAATTTTATACATTCACACGTCGTGTTCACTCATTTTTTTATTCATTCATTCAGGGTTTTTTGGAAGCTCAAAATCTGTACAATTATATTGACAGCCTTAAATATCCACTAGGGCCTCGAGATACTACCGGTACTTATCAAAGTTGCGCTGGTCCTGTCAACATTTTACTAGACCCGGGCCAGTGGGATAGCGTGAATGTTGAGCCCTGTGTATGTGGACAGCTAAGGGAGACAACTGACAATTTTAGCAACACTTCATTTAATTCTGGTGATGGGAAACTGAACCATTATAAATGTTAATGATATGCATTGTAAGTTGACTAGACATATACTATATATACATGTACTCTGGTCTGGAGGCCTTTGATGCTGAATAAAGAATCTTGAAAATCTTGAATCTTGAATCTTGAATAACACATGTGTACAGTGTAGGAAATATAGGGACTACATACAGTACAACCAGAAATTACTGAGTATTTAAAGATTGTAAATATTTATATTTTTCACTCATTACTCACGTATTAAATATTAGCAGTTAGTATTTTGTCAAGTCACCATGGGCTGCAATGCAGGCTTCAATGCGGCGGGGCATACTACTGATCAAAGAAGTTAGAAAGTCATGGTCAATGCTGTCCCAATATCGGATCACCTCTTCTTCCATTTCAGCAATATTTGTCAGATTTTCTTATTGACTCTTTCCTTCATAATTCCCCAAACATTTTCTATTGGATTTGGGTCAGGGCTATAGCTTGGCCAATCTAATAGTGTCATATTTTGGGTCCAAACATTTCCATAGAACACGTGAGCAGATGGAAGTAAATGTCCCTCGAAAATATCTTTGTACCGCTCACCGTTCATATTTTCCTCAAATACACAGAGGGGCGTTGCCCCAAACACAGATATGCCAACCCAGACGTTATATTTCGGACTGTACTTTGGGCACTGATACAAAGGTTTTTCAGTTTGTTTGGTCCAGAATTTCAGTGTATTAGGAAACAGCCACACAGAACTTTCATCTGAGAAAATCACATTGTCCCAGTTAAAATTTCTATGCTGTAAGCACCAGTTCAACCTTTGCTCCTTTTGTTCAGGTTTCATGATCGGTGATGGAATTCCTCGACTTTTCTGCCAACCCATTGCATGCAGCTCAGTTCTAATTGTCTCCTTACAGACAGCCACAGTTCCTCTATCAATCATATCCAGCCTTAAGTTTTCTAAAGTCCTTCGTTTGTTTTTAGAAACAAGAATACCAAGCCGCCTCCTGTCACCGACAGTAAATTTTCTGGGCCTACTTGCGCCTCCCTGGTGCTCAATGCCATATCCATTTGCAATATTTTTCAAAACACAATAAACAGTGGACAAAGGGATGGCTGTTCTACTTGAAATCACTTTAGCCGATCTGATGTCCTTGTTATAATACTCTAAAATCAACTTCCTCTTCTCTAAATCATCCACACTGAGGATCACTGAAAATGTCGTCTGTTAGCAAGTAAACAAAGGGTGATAACTCTTCACAAACTAATGAACAAGGATTAACTGAGTTGTCTCTCTTGAATGAAACCAAGCACTTGATAGCTGGTCAAGGTTGTTTATACTAGAAATCCAATTAAACATATTCCTAAAATTCTCAATAATTTCTGGTCATACTATATATCACAATCTTTCAAGAAAGAAACCATGAGGAAGTTTGAAGAAAGTATTGGTTCACTTTTCAACATCGTAACTATCAATGTGTGCATATAATCTGATCGTTTTTTATTTAAGTTTATATTTTTCACTTGTCACAGGTGCAGAGATGTGGGTTATTGCCATCGGTGAGAATCCCAACAAGGTCCATACCCTGCTGCGCCCCAATGTGAAATACGTCGCCAACATGCATGGAAATGAGGTAACCTGGAATTCTGGTTACTGAGGTAGATTTGATCTCTAGCATCTTCTGTGTGGTTGGAGGAAGCTTGGTGGATTAGGTGGTCAGGCTATTATTTTACAGCATATCAATGATGTGGATCTTTTCTCGTAATAACAGTTTCTCCCATCCAGACTTTGACACTGAACAAATAAATAAAACTTTCTGACATTCTCACAGCACAGCACAGCACAGCACAGCACAGCAAATTATTCTGTGATGTATTAATGATATTGCTAGGGAGGTATCAGATCACTCACAATGTGTCTTGAAAATACTTGAACAGTGTTATTTTTATGTTGCAGTGTTTCAGTATATTGTGGTAGGAAAATAGGAAGTGTTTAAAATCTAAGATCATGACAATCCATTGGGATCATACCTCCGATTCTGACCCCCTAGTCCTGGCAGGCCTAAGGGATAACTCTTAGCAAGCACCTGACCTTGGTTGCATCTTATCATCTGGACAGACTGTTTCAACTTTATGTTGACTATGTCAGTCTGATTTGGAATAGCTTTGGCTTCAGAATATTGTAAAGTTGTATCATACAGCTAAAACAGTTCTGTGTGTAGTGGAACCATTTCTTGATGTGTCCAGGTTCCTGGCCGAGAGATGGTGCTGCATCTGGCAGAGTACTTTGTCACCAACTACAACCACAATGACACCATCACCAACTTCCTCAGCACCACCACCGTCCACCTCATGCCCATGATGAACCCAGACGGCTTTGCCCAGTCCTTTGAAGGCAACTGTACAGATGTGATTGGCAGGTAACACTTTTAGCATAACACTCACCTGTAACTTACTTATGATGAACCTGGGTTGTTACTGTACCCCAAAACAGTGCTTGTTGTAGGTGACAGGGTCAGGTCAGACCTTTTAACAAATTGATCATTACACTCACCTGTAACTTACAGATGATGAACCTGGGTTGTTACTGTACCCCAAAACAGTGCTTGTTGTAGGTGACAGGATCAGGTCAGACCTTTTAACAAATTGATCATTACACTCACCTGTAACTTACAGATGATGAACCTGGGTTGTAACTGAACCCCAGGACAGTGTTTGTTGTAGGTGACAGGATCAGGTCAGACCTTTTAACAAATTGATCATTACACTCACCTGTAACTTACAGATGATGAACCTGGGTTGTTACTGTACCCCAAAACAGTGCTTGTTGTAGGTGACAGGGTCAGGTCAGACCTTTTAACAAATTGATCATTACACTCACCTGTAACTTACAGATGATGAACCTGGGTTGTTACTGTACCCCAAAACAGTGCTTGTTGTAGGTGACAGGGTCAGGTCAGACCTTTTAACAAATTGATCATTACACTCACCTGTAACTTACAGATGATGAACCTGGGTTGTAACTGAACCCCAAAACAGTGTTTGTTGTAGGTGACAGGATCAGGTCAGACCTTTTAACAAATTGATCATTACACTCACCTGTGACTTACAGATGATGAACCTGGGTTGTTACTGTACCCCAAAACAGTGCTTGTTATAGGTGACAGGGTCAGGTCAGACCTTTTAACAAATTGATCATTACACTCACCTGTAACTTAAAGATGATGAACCATGGTTGTAACTGAACCCCAGGACAGTGTTTGTTGTAGGAGACAGGATCAGGTCAGACCTTTTAACAAATTGATCATTACACTCACCTGTGACTTACAGATGATGAACCTGGGTTGTTACTGAACCCCAAAACAGTGCTTGTTGTAGGTGACAGGGTCAGGTGGTGGCAATCATCACCTTTTAACAAATTGATCATTACACTCACCTGTAACTTACAGATGATGAACCTGGGTTGTAACTGAACCCCAAAACAGTGCTTGTTGTAGGTGACAGGATCAGGTGACTCTTTAACAAACTGATCATGACTTACCCTCACCTGTAACTTACTGATGATGAACCCTTTGGCTACTAATTCTTTGTTACTTCGGACTATGTAGTTGTGTGTGCAGAGTTACATCCCTTTGATGTGCTATGATGTGTGTGTGTGAATCCATGTATATAACAATCCTTTATCCTTTAACAATCCTTTATCCTTTAACAATCCTTTATTCTCCATTTCAAGGTATAACAAGAATGGATACGATTTGAATCGGAACTTCCCTGACCACTTTGCAACAAACCCGGCTCCCATTCAAAATGAGACGATGAACGTAATGAAATGGATCGAAGATATACCGTTTGTTCTGTCTTCAAACTTCCATGGTGGTGTTGAGGTGGTGAACTATCCCTGGGACAGTTACCCTGGTGGTAGGTGGGCCTCTCTTTTGATACAGCTACCCGCTTGGTAGGTGGGCCTCTCTTTTTGATACAGCTATTGGCTTGGTAGGTGGGCCTCTATTTTTATACAGCTACCATGATGGTGGGTGGGCCACAGTTTAAGATCCAGCTACCCTGATGGTGGGTGGGCCACAGTTTCAGATACAGCTACCCTGATGGTGGGTGGGCCACTGTTTCAGGGACAGCTACCCTGATGGAGGTGGGCCACTGTTTCAGGTACAGCTACCCTGATGGAGGTGGGCCACTGTTTCAGGTACAGCTACCCTGATGGAGGTGGGCCACTGTTTCAGGTACAGCTACCCTGATGATGGGTGGCCCACTGTTTCAGGTACAGCTACCCTAATGGTAGGTGGCCCACTGTTTCAGGTACAGCTACCCTGATGGTGGTGGTCCACTGTTTCAGGGACAGCTACCCTGATGGTAGGTGGCCCACTGTTTCAGGTACAGCTACCCTGATGGTAGGTGGTCCACTGTTTAAGGTACAGCTCCGCTGATGGTAGGTGGTCCACTGTTTCAGGGACAGCTACCCTGATGGTAGGTGGCCAACTGTTTCAGGTACAGCTACCCTGATGGTGGGTGGTCCACTGTTTCAGGGACAGCTATGCTGATGGTGGGTGGCCCACTGTTTCAGGTACAGCTACCCTGATGGTAGGTGGTCCACTGTTTCAGGTACAGCTACCCTGATGGTGGTGGTCCTCTGTTTCAGGGACAGCTACCCTGATGGTGGGTGGCCCACTGTTTCAGGTACAGCTACGCTGATGGTGGGTGGCCCACTGTTTCAGGTACAGCTACCCTGATGGTAGGTGGCCCACTGTTTCAGGGACAGCTACCCTGATGGTAGGTGGCCCACTGTTTCAGGTACAGCTACGCTGATGGTGGGTGGCCCACTGTTTCAGGTACAGCTACCCTGATGGTAGATGGCCCACTGTTTCAGGTACAGCTACCCTGATGGTGGATGGCCCACTGTTTCAGGTACAGCTACGCTGATGGTGGTGGGCCACTGTTTCAGGGACGGCTACCCTTATTAACACCTTAAAGGTGACATTCTCTGGGGTATCCATATTTAACCTACCCAGGGTAAGCATGGTATCTCATTGGGCTAGCACTATAATGTGAGCAACACTCAGGGCTAGTACAAGCATGCTTGTTGCTACCTAAGTGCAGTAATCTTGAATGTGACTTTAAACCTCTTCTTTTCTTAGTGTCACTGTTACAGCAGATCCTTAGCAATCACCTCATCACTGAACTATTTTTATATTCCAGCTAGTAATATTGCTAAGTATTCGAAGAGTCCAGACGATGACGTCTTTGTCCACATCTCCAAGGTCTACTCCTACTCCCACGCCACCATGTACAATGGTCTTCCATGTTCCAACAGCAGTGGTGATGGGGGATTCGAAGACGGCATCACTAATGGGGCGGCTTGGTACCCCGTGACAGGTAAGGGGTGAGTGGGTGTGGTGCCCTGTGAAGGTAAGGGGTGAGTGGGTGTGGTACCCTGTGACAGGTAAGGGGGATGGTGGCATGTCATAGGTAAGGGGAGCAGTGGGATGGTACCTGGTCACAGGTAAAGGGTAAATGGGATTGTACAGTTAATTGGGGCAGCGGGATGGTACCCCATCACAGGTAAGGGGGTAGTGGGGAGGTTCCCTGTTACAGGTAAGGGGTGAGTGGGGAGGTACCCTGTCACAGGTAAGAGGGTCAGTGGGGTGGCCTGGTATCCTGTCAAGGATATAGTTCATCCAGATACAGTTTATTTCTGATGACTGAATTATTAATTCATGGGTTCATTGCATATTTATAAAAATAAAGTGAGTGAGTTTAGTTTACTCCGCAAAATTTAAAAAAAAATGGACACTTAAGAGTTGTGAGAGGGAAAAAAAATCCCTGTGCAAAATACTGACCCTGAGGCATGCAGGATTCTTATGATAATGGGTTCGATTCCTTGATTCATCTCAATTCTGACCATAGGTTTCCACAGGTAAGTACTTCATGTATATGACCTCCATCTTTTGTGTTTTCCTCACACATTGAGCAGATCAATGCTCATGCTGTTGATCACTGGGTTGTCTGGTCCAGACTCATTCATTTACAGACCGCTGCCATATAGCTGGAATATTGCTGAGTGTGGCGTCAAACTAAACTTACTCACTCACTCATTCACACAATGACTTGCCCTGTTGCTAGGAGGGATGCAGGACTACAACTACGTCCGTGCCAGCTGCATGGAGGTCCTGGTGGAGATGACATGCTGCAAGTATCCAATGGCCAGTGAGCTGCCCAGCATCTGGAGTGCCAACAAGGACGCCCTCATCAACTTCCTCATGTTGGTCCACATGGGTGAGTCAGTGAGAAATGGCTGTGTTGGTGAATGGGTGCTTGTGTAAGTGACTGGGATAGTGAGTTATAATTGAGTGGGTTTATCAGTGTTTGAGTGAGTGAGAAATGAGTGGGTTGATGTATGGGTGGGCTATTGGGTGGGTGGACAAGTGGGTGTGTAGACAGGTGGTTGGTTGAGTAGGGTAGGGGTTGAGTAAGTGACTTGGTTGGTGAGTGAGTGGTTGTGTAAGTGACTTGGTCGGTGAGTTAGTGGTTGTGTAAGTGACTTGGTTGTCGAGGTCGTGATTGGGGTTTTGGAGGGTGAGTGAGTGAGAAAAGAGAGGGTTGGTGAGTGGGTGAGTGGGTTTCAGTGGGTGAGTGAGAATTGGGTTGGAGAGTGAGTGAGTGAGTGGGAAGGGAGAAGCCAGGGCTATATGTTGTACAACACAGTTGCAGTCTTTACCAACACATCTGGGTCTAATCACTGGATCTTGTGGTCTAGACTCCATTATTTACAGACTGTCAACATATAGCTGGAATATTGTTGGGTGTGGCGTTAAGCAACAAACAACCATCTTGGTCTACTAGCATGAAATATGCTTCTGGTAATTTTCAAAGTAAATATTTTGTGTTTATATATTGTCTAGTATTACCTGATTGTACCAGAATAAACAAAATTGTATAAGAAATCTGGCCAAGTGGCTGGTTTTGCTGATTGCAGTAATTCAACCTCTGTCAGAAGGGCCTGTAACCCAGTCCGGGCCCCGTTCCTCAAAGCGATCGTAGTGCTAAGGTGATCGTAACTCCCATACTTTAACATAGACATACGACTGTCGTAGCGCTACGATCGCTTTGAGGTACGGGGCCCTGGACTAGACTAACCAGTGATTGAATATGGAGCACACCTCTGTACATTCATCCAACCAGATCACCCTTTGTGACGACATCATTCCCATGTGAGCTTGTTCTTTCTACAAGCCTTGAGCCCATGTCCATGAGGAAAGCGATATGCAATCAGTATAATTAAAGCCAGACTTTAGAAACACACTACCATTACACAAAGATGTGAGGTCAGCCCATTGCAGGTCATGTCAGAACGACCTTTTGTGAGCTTGTCTAACCAATGAAATGACTTAGAACTGACTGACTGACTGAGTTTGGTTTTACGCCGCTTTTAGCAATATTCCAGCAATATCACGGCGGGGGACACCAGAAATGGGCTTCACTCATTGTACCCATGTGGGGATTCGAACCCGGGTCTTCGGCATGACGAGCCAACGCTTTAACCACTAGACTACCCCACCACCCCTAAATGACTTAGAAGAAGTAAACATTTGCCTGTCACACAGCAGCTTTCTCGAATGTTAGGGCACTAGTTTCATGCCGACTACTTTCATTCATTAGCTCTGCCTTGAAAAGAATCAATTCTGTCAAACAGAACAAACTTAAATTCAAGAATATCTTATAGATTTCCAAGATTGTATAACAAACTCTTTTCTGTTTATTCTACTGAAGCAAGAGCTAGTTGGTGATTTTGATGGAATGAAAATACTGTCATTTAAAATACACTGTGTTAATCCTTTTGATCAGAAGATACATTCCGACTGTCACATTTGTGATCCAGTAAGTTATTATCAGATAGGTCAGATGAAGGTCATTCTGACCTGACAGATACAGTCATCCCTCGCAATAACGCTCTTGGCGATGCCGCTGATTTGGTTGCCCAGCGATCACACATCTTCATGTCATCGGAAATAGCACATCAACAAATCCGCTGTTGAGCTCTGGTTAATCACGTTGTAAACTAGTGATTTTCAGTGCGGATTGCAATTAACAGTGTTTATCGTACTTATCCATGGTTTTTCAGATGCTTAAAACATGCAGGGTTTTCTCAATAATAATCAGACGAACAGCGAAACATCATAATAACTTATGAAAGACAACTTTATCATAAAGAAATGCCATCAGCTGAGTACTTACAATGTTTGCTGTGATGCAACACATAACTGCTTTAGATACACCGGTACATTGGACCAAAACATCTGCGCACAGCTGATTGCTATTTCCGGCTTAGTTGAATAACAGGTAGCATAACAGGAAAACAATTGAATTATCATGTCTAGTGATGTTTTATTGCAAGTTTCCTGCACAAACATCTATTTTCATTTACAAAGTTGTTTTTTTTCACCTCCAACGATACGATATAGTTTTGACTGGGCACAATATACGAAATAGCAGTTTTGTTATGTCCATGAAAAATACGATTTTACTTGGCCTTTGTAGTAGTAATAGTTACTATAACGCAGGTGTCTAATAACGCAGGTGTCTAATAACGCAGGTGTCTAATAACGCAGGTGTATAACGCAGGTGTCTAGTAATGCAGGTGTCTAATAATGCAGGTGTCTAATAATGCAGGTGTCTAGTAACACAGGTGTCTGATAACACAGGTGTCTAATAACACAGGTGTCTAATAACGCAGGGGGTCATCCATGGGCCCCAAGAACCGTGTTATGGCGAGGGATGACTGTAATAGGACTCCATTCCTTGAGTAGTCGTAGTGAGTGTTAGGTCTGCTTTTATGAGGTTGGATATATGATCAAAATTTTAAAACAGTTCAGGGTATACAGACATGTAAGCCATATCATCGTATTTTCAATGGAAAGCCAATTTTATCACAGTTATATATTTTTTGTTTCAAAGCTGTATCAAGAAATTTGGATATGTGACATTCTACTGATGTAGATTGTGTGTGCAGTATTTTCCTCCTATGTATAGAAGTATTATTGATAGAAGACAAAAAGGTAGAACGTGGTATTGTTTAAGTTTAGACTACTGCTACAAAAGTACCTCCTATAGGGAAGACGTAGGAAAGAGGAAGTTCACTCTTCGACCTTGACCTGTTGCAGGCGTGAAAGGGCTGGTGACCGACATCAACAATAATGCTATCAGTGGTGTGATGGTCACAGTCAAGCACAGGGAGGAGATCGTGTTTAAGACGACCAATCGTGGAGAATACTGGAGAATGTTGATGCCGGGGACATACACCGTAGGAGTTTAAGACGACCAATCGTGGAGAATACTGGAGAATGTTGATGCCGGGGACATACACCTTAGAGGTAAGGAGTTGCTTACCAGGTGAATGTTGTCAGGTGACCAATCGTGGAGAATACTGGAGAATGTTGATGTCGGGAACATACACCTTAGAGGTAAGGAGTTGCTGACCAGGTGAATGTTGTCAGGTGACCAATCGTGGAGAATACTGGAGAATGTTGATGTCGGGGAACATACACCTTAGAGGTAAGGAGTTGCTGACCAGCTGCTGAAACAACTGTATTGTCAGGTGACCAATCGTGGAGAATACTGGAGAATGTTGATGTCGGGAACATACACCTTAGAGGTAAGGAGTTGCTGACCAGCTGCCGAAACAGCTGTATTGTCAGGTGACCAATCGTGGAGAATACTGGAGAATGTTGATGTCGGGACATACACCTTAGAGGTAAGGAGTTGCTTACCAGGTGAATGTTGTCAGGTGACCAATCGTGGAGAATACTGGAGAATGTTGATGTCGGGAACATACACCTTAGAGGTAAGGAGTTGCTGACCAGCTGCTGAAACAACTGTATTGTCAGGTGACCAATCGTGGAGAATACTGGAGAATGTTGATGTCGGGAACATACACCTTAGAGGTAAGGAGTTGCTGACCAGCTGAAACAGCTGTATTGTCAGGTGACCAATCGTGGAGAGTACTGGAGAATGTTGATGTCGGGAACATACACCTTAGAGGTAAGGTTGCTGACTGACCAGGTGAATGTTGTCAGGTGACCAATGGATGATGTCGGGAACACACGTGGAGAGGTGATACTGAGAATAGAGAATGTTGATGTAGGGGACATACACCTTAGAGGTAAGGAGTTGCTGACCAGGTGAATGTTGTCAGGTGACCAATCGTGGAGAATACTGGAGAATGTTGATGTCGGGACATACACCTTAGAGGTAAGGAGTTGCTGACCAGGTGCAGAAACAAATGTATTGTCAGGTGACCAATCGTGGAGAATACTGGAGAATGTTGATGTCGGGACATACACCTTAGAGGTAAGGTTGCTGACCAGGTGAATGTTGTCAGGTGACCAATCATGGAGAATACTGGAGAATGTTGATGCGGGGACATACACCTTAGAGGTAAGGCGTTGCTGACCAGGTGAATGTTGTCAGGTGACCAATCGTGGAGAATACTGGAGAATGTTGATGTCGGGGACATACACCTTAGAGGTAAGGAGTTGCTGACCAGGTGAATGTTGTCAGGTGACCAATCGTGGAGAATACTGGAGAATGTTGATGTCGGGAACATACACCTTAGAGGTAAGGAGTTGCTGACCAGGTGAATGTTGTCAGGTGACCAATCGTGGAGAATACTGGAGAATGTTGATGTCGGGAACATACACCTTAGAGGTAAGGAGTTGCTGACCAGCTGCCGAAACAGCTGTATTGTCAGGTGACTAATACTGGAGAATGTTGATGCCGGTAATGTACGCAATAGAGGAAAGGCATTGGTGATGAGCTGCCAAAACAGCTGTATAATGTCAGGTGATGATATTTTTGTGGAATAGGAGAAGAGGGGAGTCTCAGGGAGGTCAGGAATAGTTTTGGATACAACTACATAAAACTATAAGAATGTATACTCTCTGATAATTACATCCCTTCACATGACACAACATTTGAAGTCATTCAGTATGTAGAGGGCTGTCAGTGGGTTTAACTTCAGAAGTTGTGACTAATACTATTTTTTAATTATTTTTTCACCACTAATATCAAAACAAAATTACATTCTTCATGGAAACTTATATGCAAAACATACTGCATAGGTAGATAGTCAAATGCCTTGAAATTATTCGCAGCTACTGATAACAGCATGTACATGTTTGAAGGTCAAGGCCAACTTTGTTTCAGTTCAAAGCCAATGGTTTCGACACTGTGAGCAAACCTGTGACTGTTCAACAAGGGGAGGTAGCTCGTGTGGATGTTGAGCTAAAGGAGGCAGCCATAGGGTGCGCTGGTTGTCCTGAATACCTGTCTGTCTTGATGTCTGTCTGTTGTCTGTATTCCTACTTCATGTCCTCGTCTCCATGGGTTACTAGCACACTTGGTTGATCAGTACCTTTCTGAAAAACCTTTGAGGCCATAATTACAACATCTCTCACTTATGATTGTTATACGAACTGTGATGCAAAGATTTATGGTGATTGACGGCATTTTTGATTTTTGGATGTGATTTATATTTTCAGGCATAATATACAATAAACTGAAGCTGTAATTATTTTAAGACCGAGTTATTTAATCAGATTTGCTCAGTATTCTATTTTTAGAAATATTTTCCTTTTTGTAGAATTGTCTTATGTGCTTACGATGGAAGTCATGTATATATGATACAAGTATTTATATGTGCGTCTCCATCAATCTTTTCTGTGGATCATTGTTTTCCAAGTTTTGGAAGAGAACAATTCATGTTTGGAAACAAAAGCATCAAACAGGAGTAGTAACGCTGTATAATCTCGCAGTAGAAAATATTTGTGAAATTATGACAGAAACAATGAATATACGAAAATCAGGGGATAGAAATTATGAGAGCTTCAACCTGCTGTCAGGAGAATGGACTTTAGCTTGCTAAGTGCAAACAAGTGTGGCATAGTAAGAAAATCAAACATAATGAACAGTTGTAAATTCAATAGATTCCTAATTCTCTCTGTAAATCCCTATACATCTCTTCCTCTCTATTTGTGTCTCTTACTTACCAATGAATTCCTTCCTGTATCTGTTTTCCTTTCACTATTGCTCTCTCTCTCTCTCTCTCTCTCTCTCTCTCTCTCTCTCTCTCTCTCTCTCTCTCTAATCCAATAATTCTTCATGATTCAAGGACATATGCATAATTTACATCTTCATTATTCGTGATCATCTTGACGTTTTCATGGTGATACCTTGCTTGATATTTCCATGATCCATGATATCTATTTACTTGATATTTTCATGACTAGTGGTGGTACTATATTGGATATTTCCATGATTCATGCAAATGCTATTCATGTTTCCAGGATTTGTGATAATACTGTACTTCATATGTTCAAGATTCACAATAATGTTTGTTAATTTATTCAATCATTTGCATAAAAGCAGCTGTCCCTCAGTCCTGTATTTACGTGTTTATGCAAATTTGAAGATGTTATCTTTTACACGACTCTGATAAGTTCTTCATTATGTATATACATGGGAGGCTGAACAGGTTTCATGCATTTGTTGATCATCTCCTGTCGTTCTTTATCTCCCATTGTTCTTTATCTCCCATTGTTCTTCATCACCCCATCACCAATTGTCCCGTCTCCCATTGTTGTTAGCCAGGACATAATGATATATCTTTCATAATATAAACATCCCACAATTCTCCACAAAATATTTTTGTATCATCTTTTATTTGTCTTGTTTTTGCTGTCTTAGATCAGTCAGTACAGTGGAAGCCCTCTAAACTGGCATTCGTTGGGACCGGCAAAATATGACGGTATAGAGGGCATGCCAGATAAAATAACTTTTCCTTTTTCAACCTGAAAATGATCTCCGTGTGCCGTAAAATACGACTGAACAAAGTGTTGATAGTCATCATATTCTTTATTCATCAATAAAGATAACATCTGGTAAAGTACGGAAAAACAAACCAGTCTCATCGCAGTTAAAGACATCTTCACTAGGCATATCCATCAATCAAAGTCGGGAGGCGGGAGCTTAATGCTGATGGTAATCCACTGTGTTGTCAATACACGTTCAGCCAATCAGCCAATCAACAGGAGAGCTGAAATACCAGATGGCGGTTTAGAGAGCATTAATTATTGTACAAACAGTCAATTGGGCTGCCTTTGTTGTGCCGAAATACAGAATAGACTGACGCCGGATTAGACTGCGTGTAAATGATCATAAATTAACTAGCTTCTGCCGGGACCAAATTCTCGTACCGATATTGAGAGCATGCCGGATTGGAGGGTTGCCGGTTTAGAGGGCTTCCACTGTATTCTAAATACACTGAAGTGAAGTCAAGTCAAAATTAATCTTTATTTCAGACTTGATCTGCTATTTTTGTTGTTGAAAGAATGCTACTTTTAGATAAAAAAACAACATTGTTAGATTTATTTCTTTAATGTTTTTCTCTACTGTGTGTAATTACTAAAGTATGTGACATTTTTCATGTACTTGACTAGTTTGAGAACTTGTTTAAATTTATTAAGTACTTAACAGACTTTGCTTGACGAAGGGAAATGTTTTTGCAATTATTGTCACCAAATCCTTAAACCAAGAAACCTGCCATAATGTATATATTTGTTGAGATGTTCTTGTTGGGAATGATAGATATTTTATGGATGTTTCATTATAATCTTCCATTTTCTTCACCTGTTTGTATTAAGCAGTTTTCACTGTTTATTAACACATTGTCAGGACAGTAGGACATTTGTTGAATATTGATACATATTGTGTTATCCTCGTGAATTAATGATACAGACTTGGATGGAACTCAACTCAAAGTAATGGAAGGACCACAAATTTTCAAATTAGAAAATTATCTGCAATAGGTCAAAGATGTTAGTGGGTCATTAAATTACATTTTTTCAAATGTAGGTGATCATACTTTTTCCTGTATTTTTTATTTGAATCATCCCAAACTCACTTGATCTTTGTTGTAATAGTAACATTTAACAGTTTTGTAACAGATTTCTTTTGATCTACACTGAATATAAAGAATGTTTAATTTAACATTGTTAAATGTCAGAATTTATAGTCAGGATTAATAAATCAGAGTTATTTGTATTGTGATGAGTTGTCGAGAACATAGTGTCAAAACAACTCCTGATTACAGGGTTGCACAGGAAAGATACCAATTGTTGATGTGACATTGTTTATCTTCCCTCTTCAGCATCCTGGCAAGCCGTTTCTATCGAGGTAACACGAATGAATGGTTTGGGTCGGTGTCTCATCTACAATATACATTATAGTTCTTGCAGTAGGTTTCCTTGTTCTGTCCTTGGAGGGATTCGGGTCGGAGAGGGCTTCTGTGTTCCATCTACTTATAATTTGTTTTGTTGCATTCAAGATTGTTACATTATACAGAATGATGTGCATGTGTGGAGCAGTGTTGTTAACTATTTGGACCAATGCTGGAGTTACAGTGCTAGCATACAGAGATACCATGCTGCAGCTTAACATGGATACCCAACTCAGACATATTATACTGACTCCAAGTCCAGCAACCCTTGTTCTGTTGACTCGATGACAAGTGACAGGCAGGGAAACAAAAAGTACCATCTTTTACTGCATTATGACAAAGTTGGGATGGAACCACAAACCTTGCGATATTGAGGCAGACACCCTATAGACAGTGGTGCTTGACACAGTTGAGGATCATGATCACAATATTGGATCTGGCATATTGTTTGCCTGTTGCTATAATCATTGGTTTCCCTACCCAGCCTTGACCATTCATGGGCTGTGATGTAGCTGGAATATGTCTGACTGTTGCATAACATATATATTTACTTTAGGCCAGACCAATTTTATTTCTTGTTTTATGGATCCGCCTGTCATATTTTTTCAAGAATAAGAAAAAAAAAGTATAAAATAATTTTCTCCGCTCAAAAAATATAATCCTAATGTCATTATTGGCCAAAAATGTAAACTTTAAAAAAATATAAATTTTAGGTTGATTTTTGGTCCCATATACACTTCATAAATTGCCAAACGTAAAATATTTTGAGTATTTAGAAGGAATATTACTTTGACTGGTGATTTTTTTTCTTTCCCCTCCTGCCTTTAGGTTTTCTGAGGACAAAAGTCTGTAAAATAAGAAATAAAATTGGTCTGGCCTTAGTGTTCTGTGCTCTTCAAGACCCTTTGAAACTTTTATGTTATGAGTTGGTGTCTTTCTTTTCATGCAATGAGTTGATGTCTTTCTTTGATGGTATCTCTTTCTTCAGTTCTTCATTATGTAACTTATACACAGGCCAGAAATTAAAGTGCCAAATCTCTGAATGGAATATTGATAAAGGCAGTGTCAAACCGTTGGCATGATCTCTTATGTGAGAGATATGTATTAGAAGGAGTAATGTTTTTGGCTTTTATCATTATTGTAGACAATGATGTGATAAAAGTGGTGTAAAATTCAATAAAACCTTCTTTATGTTTATTGATTTTGGGAGAACCAGTTCTTATTGGGGAAAAATGAAAAGGGCTGTTACATATAAAATATTTTCGCCCCAAATGCGAGCATTATCAAATATTGGATTTAATGGCACATAATGCTGGTATGTCAGATGCATGTCACAATTTCTTCTGATATTTTGTTTATCTGAAGTCTTTTTACTTTTTGTCACTTCCATTTTACATATCTTCCAACTTAATGCTTTGTGGTCATTACTTCATGGTGGTTGCCATGGCAGATCACCAGGTTCCTGTTCAACCAAGAGATATCATTTAAAGGTGATCACACAGCAATGTGTCAGTACTTCCTGGTTTGTGATGAAACCGTGTACAAGGTCATGAATATGTTCATATACTGACACAGACGTTTGTAAAGTAGCACAGACACATATGCATACATCATACAGCAATGTGTCAGTACTTCCTGGTTTGTGATGAAACCGTGTATAAGGGCTTGAATATGTTCATATACTGACACAGATGTTTGTAAAGTAGCACGGACACATATGCATACATCACACAGCAATGTGTCAGTACTTCCTGGTTTGTGATGAAACCGTGTATAAGGTCTTGAATATGTTCATATACTGACACAGATGTTTGTAAAGTAGCACAGACACATATGCATACATCATACAGCAATGTGTCAGTACATCCTGGTTTGTGATGAAACCATGTACAAGGTCATGAATAGGTTCATATACTGACACAGATGTTTGTAAAGTAGCACAGACACATATGCATACATCATACAGCAATGTGTCAGTACATCCTGGTTTGTGATGAAACCGTGTATAAGGTCATGAATAGGTTCATATACTGACACAGATGGTCGTAAAGTAGCACAGACACATATGCATACATCATACAGCAATGTGTCAGTACTTCCTGGTCTGTGATGAAACCGTGTATATGGTCATGAATATGTTCATATACTGACACAGATGTTTGTAAAGTAGCACGGACACTTATGCATACATCATACAGCAATGTGTCAGTACTTCCTGGTTTGTGATGAAACCGTGTATAAGGTCTTGAATAGGTTCATATACTGACAGATGTTTGTAAAGTAGCACAGACACATATGCATAAATCATACAGCAATGTGTCAGTACTTCCTGGTCTGTGATGAAACCGTGTATAAGGTCATGAATATGTTCATATACTGACACAGATGTTTGTAAAGTAGCACAGACACATATGCATACATCATACAGCAATGTGTCAGTACTTCCTGGTTTGTGATGAAACCGTGTATAAGGTCATGAATATGTTCATATACTGACACAGATGTTTGTAAAGTAGCACGGACACATATGCATACATCTTACAGCAATGTGTCAGTACATCCTGGTTTGTGATGAAACCGTGTATAAGGTCTTGAATAGGTTCATATACTGACAGATGTTTGTAAAGTAGCACAGACACATATGCATACATCATACAGCAATGTGTCAGTACATCCTGGTTTGTGATGAAACCATGTACAAGGTCATGAATAGGTTCATATACTGACACAGATGTTTGTAAAGTAGCACAGACACATATGCATACATCATACAGCAATGTGTCAGTACTTCCTGGTTTGTGATGAAACCGTGTATAAGGTCTTGAATAGGTTCATATTCTGACACAGATGGAAACAAAGTGTCCATGATAGGTTTAATAGCTATGCAGATGGCATTGCTTCAGTTAAGACATTTTTGGTCTTTCTGGTCTTGGAAAGTGTGACAAAACAAATTGTTTAGCCCTAAGCTTCTGAGTGTTCAGTGTCATGGATTCTATGTGAAAAGCATAGTCTAATATACTTTCACAAATATGCCATCTCTGTATACTGATTTGGGACATGAGTGAGTGAGTTTAGTTTTATGCCGCTTTTAGCAATATTTCAGCAATATCACGGCGGCTGACATCCGGAATGGGCTTCACACATATCCATGTGGGGAATTGAACCCCTTTCTTCGGTGTGACGAGCTAACGCTTTAATCACTGGGCTACCCCACCGCCCCAGACGTGAGTTCTTAAACTGGTTGCCATGACACACAAAGTTCATGTCTGGGTCTAGATTTTAGACTGACTGACTGACTGAGTTTAGTTTTACGCCGCTTTTAGCAATATTCCAGCAATATCACGGCGGGGACACCAGAAATGGGCTTAACACATTGTGCCCATGTGGGGAATCGAACCCGGGTCTTCGGGGTGACGAGCCAACGCTTTACCCACTAGGCTACCCCACCGACCCCTAGATTTTAGAAGCTGTCTTAGCGCTAAGATAGTCATAAGTTAATGTTAATGAATGACACTTACGACTGACTTAGCACCAAGAGAGCTTCGAAAATCTAGGCCCAGATGTCTGGCAGACTGGCCGTGTCCCTCACTGGAGTAGGACATACTTTCTCTTTTCTCGAGCACCTGGTGTCATGGAATTTCAGTGATCAGTTCACATAATTTTCACTAGTTTAACTTTTATGCCTGTTGTAATCTGTTTCAGCAGATTCTGTTTGTAGTTACCTCTTTTGTATTTACTTCATTTAATCAGGGATGGCAATTTTACGCTGATTCGCGGATTTCCGCTGATTTTGTTTCAAATTGTTCAATTGTGAATCGTCTAAATCCATTGAGAAACCCTCAACTCGATGACACAATATTAAGTTTTCTGCTGAAAATAGATTTTCCTGTTGCCATCCCTGTTTAATGCTAGTAATATATATATTAATGTTGTTCGTTGTTGACAAACAATGTCAAGTTTGTAATATTTTTCAAATAATGTGTTTTCCAACAGGGATTTTCTCCAGGATATGATTCCAAGACCGACTGTTTATTTGGCTTATGTTCCGCCAGTCAGATCTGACTGATGTCCCATCAGCCAACCACATCTCTGCTACCAAGTCTCTATACATCAGTTATATGTTAACTTACTCTTCTGACTGTCATTGTACATGGAGAATAATCAAATATTTGCATCACCGGTTGAAAAATACATGTCTATATGAAATACATATGCAATTGCTGCCCAGATCAAAATGATGTTTAACAGATTAATTTAAATGATATTAAAGCTCAAATGTAAGAATCTTATGAATAAATTTGGATTTTGTATTAGTGTTTATCTGTTGTTTTGGGTGACAGTTTCATGTTCATGGGGATGGGGTAGGGTGTTTTGGTTTTGTTTATATCAGGACACAGCATTAAGTACCCATTAGTGGATCAGTTTATCAATAGTTCGAATCCTAGATTTGCCTTGATTATGTTATTTGGTTTGTCTGCACCAGATCCAGCTTCGTGGATCCCAACTTAGAAGAAGACTTCCTCAATGTGTGTCATGTGCCTTGTAGCCCACATTAAGTCTGTCTCAAGTATGTCTCACAGACCCTGAAGCACATTATCTTCCCTGCTGCCTAGTCCTCCCTGCAACGTTATTGTTAAAGCACTAAACGAAGCAAGTCTAGATATGCCAGGTTCATCTCCCAACTCACTGGTGCTCCTTAATTTCAAAGGGTATATATGTTACTATCAGAATTATATATTTAGGGATTAAGCATTAGTCTTAGCTTACACATGAAAATACAGTTCAAATCCAGAATAGAACCAAACTCACTCACTTGAACTATTTAACTCAATTATCATGCCTAATCACTTCGGACATGATCAGGTTTCCATAGAGGAGTTCATACTGAATTGTTCTACGATATTGTCATGTTACTAAAATACTCACATGTACAGTAAAGTACTTGTTAATGCGGCCTGTGTAAACCTCTGTGAAAGGTAATAAGTCAAATTGTGCAACTTGTGTTCACCTGTTGAAATAGCCTACGACTTAGGGCTTGTCCTCATTCGCCTACACCTCATTTTGCCTACAACTCATATGCCTACAATAAATCAAATGGTTAATTGCATCACCCCTGTTATATGAATGGGCATTGCCCATCTCAGGCTGTTAACTAAGCTCTAATCTGATCTGAAGCTTCATGATTATCTTGTGTGTTTAACCTTCTTTTGGGTTAACTCATTATTTTACAGATTAACAGACACTAATCACACCGAAGACCCGGGTTCGATTCCCCACATGGGTACAATGTGTGAAGTCCATTTTAGCCCGCTAAAAGTGGCGTAAAACCATACTCACTAACTCTCTGATAATGATGTGCAACGGTTTTAAGTGCATTGTGCCGCTGACTGCATGCCTTTGTCCGTTGAAACAGGGATAATCTACTACGTTATATAGTCTCCCTGGTTGAAATACGGGTCGTATGTGGTGTGTGGTCCTGTGCAAAAAGCCCAAGTCACATATCCGTTGAACTGACTGACTGACTGAGTTTGGTTTTACGCCGCTTTTAGCAATATTCCAGCAACATCACGGCGGGGAACACCAGAAATGGACTTCACACATTGTGCCCATGTGGGGATTCGAACCCGGGTCTTCGGCGTGACGAGCCAACGCTTTAACCATTAGGCTACCATCCGCCCCCAGTTGAACTTAAGCAACGATGGTTGCGGACAGTCCTTGGATTGGCAGGTTGGGTTATCGGGGGTAATATGTAATGTGATAGCGCCTTGAGCATGTACAAGTGCGTGGAACAGGCGCGTTATAAATAGCCATTCTTATTATATTAATATATAATTACCGAGTTATCATGTACCGGAATATTTCACTCTTTTTTATATTTGTGTGATGTTTTATTGGTATTACAAAGCTTATCTTCAGCAGATTTTGAGAAGTAGCATTAAATACTATTTTGATGTTCCCCTTATGGTTATGTGGGGGTGTGAAAGAGAAATCAAATCCATCATGACGAGTTTATAAACGTTACAACTATTCGAGGCCTCTTGGCAATTGTTTTATTTCTTTCAACAAGATTTGTTACGGAACTTGAAAGACAAGGGCGCCTTTGAATTTATTATCCAAATCCATTCTCCCAGCTTTGTTCGGTTAATAAATTGTAGTAAACAGTGTCTTCAATGTAAGCAGTATAGAATCTGAACTATAGTCTGTTAGCAGTGAAAACGTACCGATGAATTTCACCTTAAACAAAAAAGTAAATCAAATAAAGTGAAATTAAGATTGCAAATCCTCTTAATTGTACCTTGCCAATTGAACATTTAAATCTCAAAAAATTATTCAAATTAGGATAAAAGTTGTTTAACAAACGATCATAGAATCAAATCGCTATTACTGGTTTGTATTACAAGGGGGTAAGCGCAGTAGTTGGAACAGTGAAACAAATGCACGTGCGGTAAGTAAAGAGCGTTAACTTATAAACCTTGTCGTTTTCGGTGTTTCATTTGATGTGCATACCCCCTTGTTACACACACATATAATATCCATGTGAAACTATGATCGTTTGTTAAATAACTCTTGTCCTAAGTCAAATAAAATTCTGAGATTCAAATGTTCAATTGGCAAGGTAAAATCATGAGGATTCGCAGTCTTAAGCACCCATTGTTGATGATGTCACAGGGTGAGTGAGTGAGTTTCGTTTTACACCGCTTTTAGCAATATCACGTCACGGGAACACCAGAAATGGGCTTCACACGTTGTATCCGGGGAATCGAACCCGGGTCTTCGGCGTGACGAGCGAACTAGGATTACACACACACACACACACACACACACAAAAAAAACAGGTCTTGGAAACGATAAAAACTGTCACCAATTCATTACTAACATCATCTTAACAAGAAGTTGCCTGCAGTGACCTTTCTGTGGGTTGACATTTCATACGTCTTCTTTTCCTCTCTGGGGCGGTAGGGTAGCCTAATAGTTAAAGCGTTGGCTCGTCACGCTGAAGAGCCTGGTTCGATCCCCACATGGGCACAATGTGTGAAGCCCATTTGTGGTGTCCCCCGCCGTGATATTGGTGGAATATTGCTAAAAGCGGCGTAAAACTAAACTCACTCACTCACTCTTTTCCTCTCTTATGATGTCTGTCAGAACAACATACTCGAAACTAACTTGGAATTACGGATTATCTGTTCCTCGTGTATCACCTTTCATGTACTCGTGACAGATAATTTCAGGTAGTTCGTTGCTTATTTTCTAAATCTCGCCCAAGTGTAAAATATAAATAAAAAATGTTACCCTGTCCACGGTCGTATCTAACCCTGTATTTATTCTAGTGAATATAATATACAGAAGGCTACGTTTATAACGAACACAGTTATAACCAAATGTTGTTTCGGTCCCTGTTTGTTGCTGGACAAAGTAGTCGATATGCGTGTATCGAACTACGGTTGTAGCGAGCTAAATTTAGTGGCCCGTTTGAGTATAATCGTAGTCTACTGTCCATTAATTCAGATTAAGTGAGTGAGTGAGTGAGTTTGATTTTACGCCGCTTTTAGCAATATCACGGCGGGGGACCCCAGAAATGGGCTTCACACATTTTACCCATGTGGGGAATCTAACCCGGGCCTTCGGCGTGACGAGCGAACGCTTTAACCACTAGGCTACCCCACCACCCCTAATTCAGATTAAGAATCTTTGAGGTAAGATATCTGGCAGTTGAGGCATGCAGTCACAACTCCCAATATTCAGATCAATATACAACTTAGACTTTTCAATTAACGCCAGGAAAGATGCCATCGATTAATCAATTGCCTCGTAAACAGCTATTAAACACCAGTCGAAGTAAACCATGAAGGGGACATGTCTTCATAGGCAGCAAATAGGACCCTATGTTAAATCAATAATCCTGTAGACTGCCACCCAAACAGGTATTTTACTACCAGCCTAATGCCTTATTCTTCCATTACCTGACAAACCCATTCTGGAAATGGTCACTCAGTGACCAAAGTGCTTACAAACATCGCGTTATTGCTATCCTGCAGGTGTAGGTATATCTATTAATAGAAGAAACAAATAAACGCTATACAGGGCACCTGCGATGCTTTATTTGCAATAACAGTTTGAAGACATCCTGAGAGATTGGATTGTATATTTCTCGCATGACGGCTGTATTAGGACACAACAGAGTACTTTTAATTGCTATAGATCTTTGATCACAGAGGAGGAAAGGTCTTTTGTGATACGGTATTGAAGTGTTGAGATTGTGGCGCCTTCAACCCGCCTCCACACTACATATTCAATGGTTTCTATACGAGATTAATGTACAGAAAGGACTCTGTCCGAACTGTGGCTGTTTATCACGGCGTGTCACGTTCCGCTGTCTACTCTGCGAGTATTATATACAAAACAATGAGCTTTTAAATGAACTCAAATATGTACGGCAAGGCATGCACTGCTGGAGGGGACAACATTCGCCTAAACATTTTATGGGTGACCGTTTCGGACATCTTCACGCAAATGTAAAAACAAAATTTAACGTTGTGAGGGTGCTTATGAGGTGATGTGAGGTGAAATTGGGTTTTACGTCGTGCTGTGGTGAGAATATTTCGCTCATATGACGACGTGCATGCGTGTGTATGTGTATGTGCGGCTGCTTGTACTAGCCCAGACTTAAGCTGGTTTTATAGTGCTAGCCCACTGAGAGACCATGCCGCAGTGAAGCATGAATACCCCACTCAGACACATTATACTGACTCCGGGCCGACCAGTCCTTGATGTACCCATTAATGCCGAGCGCCAGGCAACAAGTACCATATTTTAACCTCTTTTGGTATGACGCGGCCGGGGATCGAACCCGCGACCTTCCGCTCTCTGGGCGGACGCTCTAACCACTACACCACGGAGGCGGTTGAGGGTGCTTGTGACTGGATTCGAACCCTGGGACGAGAATTTGCTTTAACCACTATGCTACAACACCGTCATGTACGTGTATATATTCACCGGTATCGATACCGTGTACAGTTACCGATTACGATTATCCTGAACTCTACAAGATAAGGCCATAAAACATGCTATAAGATAAGGCCATAAAACATGCTATAAGATAAGGCCATAAAACATGCTATAAGATAAGGCCATAAAACATGCTATAAGATAAGGCCATAAAACATGCTATAAGATAAGGCCATAAAACATGCTACAAGATAAGGCCATAAAACATGCTATAAGATAAGGCCATAAAACATGCTATAAGATAAGGCCATAAAACATGCTATAAGATAAGGCCATAAAACATGCTATAAGATAAGGCCATAAAACATGCTATAAGATAAGGCCATAAAACATGCTATAAGATAAGGCCATAAAACATGCTATAAGATAAGGCCATAAAACATGCTATAAGATAAGGCCATAAAACATGCTATAAGATAAGGCCATAAAACATGCTATAAGATAAGGCCATAAAACATGCTATAAGATAAGGCCATAAAACATGCTATAAGATAAGGCCATAAAACATGCTATAAGATAAGGCCATAAAACATGCTATAAGATAAGGCCATAAAACATGCTATAAGATAAGGCCATAAAACATGCTATAAGATAAGGCCATAAAACATGCTATAAGATAAGGCCATAAAACATTCTACAAGATAAGGCCATAAAACATGCTATAAGATAAGGCCATAATTCTTTAAATAGTTTTACTGTTTGTACGGTATGTGTACAATGCTAGTGTTTCTCATGGCTCCAATCATGTTTTAAAGACGTCAACTTATGCACAAAACGACATGACCGTTTCTTCAACAAGTTTTTCCAGTGATTGGTACAAAACAATAAACGGCAGATATTGTTCGGTACCAGGTATTCGGAATATATGCGTAAAAAAGGATACATTATAAATCCATATAACAAAGTGTGCTTGCAGGTGTTTACGTGTAAAACTCCTTAAGCGCACAAATCAACATGTTTAAGTTAATTCCTATGAATAATGGTCCACATATATTTTGTGTACATTGGACTGTAAGTGGAAGAGAAGTTTATTGAGTATGGAAATGTTTTAAGTGACTGTGTGCGTGCGTGCGTGCGTGCGTGTGTGTGTGTGCAACCCCATACCTCCCTTTTTGTCTTGGAAGTTTATTGAAGGACCATTGAAACTCTCGTGAAAACGGGTGGAAATGAACTGTCCCCTTCCCCTTTCTCAAAAAGCTGTATCCGCCCCTAGTATATATAATCTGAATTGATTGTCAACGGTACGACCAAGTAGATCACAAATCTGATGTACTATATGTCATCAGTATCCACATCGCAACTCGTTTCAGTGTTGCCGTGAGGTCCTTTCAGTCCCATCCTTCTTTGTCCGCCTCACACCAAAGTCCGTATAAAGATGGTATTTGTTGTTACCCTGGCCATTATGGGCATACAGCAAGGACTGCTGGGATCGGAGTTAGTATACTGTGTCTGTGTAAGATATCTGTGCTTAGCCAGGTTATGGTATCTCCTTCGGCTTGCACTATAAAACCAGCATTGTTCCAGATTTGTACACGTGACGTGCTCGCACGCACACAGACATGCTATTCGCACACCCCCACACAAACATGCACGTCACACACACTCACACAAACATGCACGTCACTCACAAACAACAAACATGCGCGTGGTAAACCTAGGCAAACATGCACGTCGCACACACTTACACAAACATGCACGTGGCACCCACCCAAACAAGCATGCATGACGCACACTCACAAAGAACAAACATGCACGTCTCACCCACCCACACAAACATGCACGTCGCACACATCCATTCACGTCGCACACACTCACACACACGTGGCACCCACCCACACAAACATGCACGTCACACACACTCACACAAGCGTGCACGTCGCACACACACAAACATGCACGTCGCACATAACCACACAAGCATGCTCGACGCACACATCCACACAAACATGCACGTCACACAAGCATGCTTGACGCACACACTCACACAAACATGCACGTCACACAGTCACACAAACATGCACGTCGCACACACTCACACAAGCATGCACATCTCACACAAGCATGCTCGACACTCACACACCCACACTAACATGCACGTCACACAGATCCACACAAACATACATGTTGCACACACACTCAAGCATGCTCGTCGCACACACACACACACACATGCTCGTCGCACACACACAAGCATGCTCGTCGCGCACACACAAACATGCTCGTCTCACACACACAAAACATGATCGTCTCACACACAAAAATGATCGTCTCACACACAAAACATGCTCGTCGCACAGACACAAAACATGCTCGTCGCACACACACAAGCATGCTCGTCGCGCACACACAAGCATGCTCGTCGCACACACACACACAAGCATGTTCGTCGCACGCACACACACACATACACACACAAACATCCACGTCACACAGACCCCCACATACGTGCACGTTGCTTCAGATGTGCAACTATCGTGAACGCGACGTAAAGCACATTTCACCCACCACCACCCTTCCATTACATGTAGTATCGCGTTATAATGAGCTCGAGACATGCGAGACAACAACGGACAGTAAACATGAATACAGGTGGTTTTCACGCCAGTCTTATCTACCGAACATGCTGAGCTCTCCGGAAAACAGTGAGTGAGTTAATATTTATCGTCACATCGACAATATTTCAACCATGTCGTGACGAGAACATATAATTTATTGTTTTAAGGATCATTAAAACCAGAAATTAAAAAACCCGTTGACGATGAACAGTAAAAGGTGTTAAGTAACCAGTACAAGTGCAACTCTGTGTATCATCTATGTATAACATGGCCCTAACAGCTCACCGTAGATCCACCAGCTCACCTTCCCGAGGCGAGAAACATCATCGTAGCCATGGCGCGAAACTAGCAACAAGCAGACGACACCTTCGCGGAGTATGTGTAGCAGACGACACGATCTTGTCAACAGAAACAAACACAACCACCTCGACTCCACCCCGCAGACTACAGCGGGACAGCCAGGTGAGTGTTGTGTATAACTTTATAACCTCTAGATATACATTTCGGGTCATACTCATACACCGAGAAATCATGTGGAACACCCCTAATAATTTGTATAGCATATTTGCTTCTTCCAACTGTAGTCATTAGTGCACAATTCAAGTATAACACTAGAAAAAAAACCTGTCTGTAATTGTTCTCTTCAGTGTGCCCCAGAAACGCGACGGTTCTTGTGTAATCGAAACATGGAGCTCATGAATACCTATTATGAACTATTATGTTTTCAAACTGGAGTTACCTTTCCGTTGAGTACGTCTTACCGTTATATATTTCAAAGCTATTGAGGACAGCTTTCAGAGGTATATTACACGACGTGGTCCTTTATGAAGACCTGAAAGACGTACTCGTGGTTAGGATGTATTGAGTTTATGTGAGTAGTTTACCGGAATACATTACATCATAAAGACCTAGCGACAATAACACTATAGAGTCTGATACAAGCTGTAGTAATGTATTACGACTTTGTACGGAATACGCCTGCCGGAATGTCTCTACACATGTATTGGGCTTTGTCTACACAGACACATCGTGTTCAGATCGCTGCTGGGGGTCATTAACTGTTATCACGAGCGTTGTCAATATTTCAAAGTCAGGCTACAGTTAGGACACGAATCTAATGAATGTTTAAAGTTCTTGGTTGATTTGAAAGCAAGCGTTGTTTTGTTGTCGTGGTTTAACAGGCAACACCAGTCAAGGGGAACTTGTGAAATGGACAGATGAAATTACTTGCGTAGATTGCTGTTTGTCACGTCACACAGTTCCGTTCTCTGACACAGGCAACTGCACTGTTTAGGCCAAACGGGCCATTATCTAGCGGAGGTGTTGTGGTTTAGACAAAGGTCACTGGCGTTGTTTGGCGAAGATAACAAACCTGATTGTACTCATACCTTTCTCAAATAGCTGCGTCTGTTCGAACACGCACAATGCACCGGTGAATATCGTTTTTACGTTCACACATCAAGACCATTAAGATGGAGGACAATAAGATTTAGAAACATTACAAAACGGTAATATATATGTTTGTAGTGAGTTAGTATGGTTTTGCACCTCTTTTAGCAATATTCCAGCAATATCACGGTGGGGACATAAGAAATGGGTTCACACATTGTACCCATGTGGGGAATCGAACCCGGGTCTTCGGCGTGACAAGCGGACGTTTTGACTATAAGGCTACCCCATCTCTGTTATAATAATAATGCTAATAATAGAAGTTCATACAAGTTAATATAATCAAACTGTTTTTCATGAATTAATTAATGATATGGTTTTAAGAAAATATCTTGAATATCAGCTCTTGTAATGTTCATATAATACACATAACGTTCTTGTATGGGTTAGCATATACACTATATATCTTAATCGAACTGTGTGGGGAGATGGATTCATGTTTAAACCACTTTTCTTGATCGATTTCGGTTAATTCGAGATTTTGAAACAAGTTAAAACCAAACGTGTTAAACAGATGTCTAGGGATTGTAGAAGAGGTTGAGTGAGGTCGAATGGAACGAAAGACAATTCTTCCAGACCTTCAAGATACATCCACTTCACTCACCAATGTCGAAACTCTTTATCACGACCTTGGACGTGGTTCAGACAAATAGTGAAACAGCGACAATACCAGTGAAACTGTTACTGCTCAGATGGTAAAACCATATTTTTAAACAAATAAATGTCCAGGGCGTAAATATAGAACGGCAACGCCAGAGAATAACCAGTGCCGACTATTATTAGGCGTACCGTCAAATAACCTTAGAGTTATCATTGCCAATCAGTGATGACACCAGGTGTACGTGAAAGGTGGAATGTTAGGCCTACCATACCGTAGTCTGTCTCACATTCCCTGAACCACATTATTTTTCTTTCTGCCTTGCCCTTTCTGCAATGCTAAAGCCCTTATTGAAGCAAATCTACATTTCCCCAGGTTCTGATTCTCCCTTGTCATTGGGGCTCCTTTTCAATGTTAGAGAATTATTATTTGTATGCATTTAGAGACTAAGCGTTATTCTAACCATGCCGGTGAGACTTGTATGCGTATTTAGCATGTACTCAGTTCAGCCAAAGTCGACAATACCCTTTTGACCCGGACCCGTGAAGATCCGGGTTAGAATATTGATCTTCAGTACTGACTGACTGAGTTTGGTTTTACGCCGCTTTTAGCAATATTCCAGCAACATCACGGCGGGGAACACCAGAAATGGGCTTCACACATTGTGCCCATGTGGGGATTCGAACCCGGGTCTTCGGCATGACGAGCCAACGCTTTAACCATTAGGCTACCCCACCGCCCCTTGATCTTCAGTAACCCATGCTTGTCGTAAGAGGCGACTAGCGGGATCGGGTGGTCAGGCTTGCTGACTTGGTTGACACATGTCATCGGTTCTCAATTGCGCAGATCAATGCTCATGCTGTTGATCACTGGTTTGTTTTGTCCAGACTCGATTATTTACAGACCGCCGTCATATACTAGTAGCTGGAATTATGCTGAGTGCGGCGTAAAACGTAACTCACTCACCCTTTGACCCGCCATGACAGATACAGCCGTATCAACACTCCGATTCCAGTTGACACCTGCTTGTTGAAGGAGCCGGTGTTATCAGGTGCGACCACAAGTAACCTCATTGTATAACATTTATCTGTTTGTTGAAGGAGCCGGTGTTATCAGGTGCGACCACAACTAACCACCTTATATAACATGTATCTGTTCATGTCGGAGAAACAACACGAACCCGTGGTTACATAGCATTGTTCAATTTGTCACTTCATTTATATACTAGATAACGTGATTGACGAAACCCGGGGAATCACGCAATGTATGGAGGATTGTTATCAGAGATGTGTTAACGGAAACTGCTCCTTTGTGTAGGTAAATGTTCCGTCGTGACTGTTCCATGCGTCAGTGGACGTCATCAGATAGTGGATAGTGTGGACATATGGTATGATCAAGGCCGTGTCGTATATCCGAGCCGATCTTTAAAGACTTGACTGGCAATCTGTGGGTTCCAGCAAGTTTGGATCATAAGCAATGATGTTTCTGAGAGCATTTGTCATGTTTATAGGGAATGCTGTGAAAGCATGAAATTCTGAAATGATCTAGAACTCTGGATTAATAACTATTTACCACGAAAAATAAACATCACAAAATATTTGATTTGGTTTGGTACATTGCATAATGATGTATTACTAAATCAAATCATTATCTCTGCCAAAAAACATATCAAGTTATGTAATATAAAAAAATCAATTCCAAAATTCAGTAATTATAAAAAGGTATTAAAAGAGATATTTTCTGTAGAAAAATTTATTTCAAAGAGAAACAATGAAATCGAGAAATTCAATCTTAAATGGAATTCGCTCACCTCAATATTCAGCAACTAATTATTATTATATCTCTACAGCAATGTATCTTCACCTTTTCTGTGCTTGTTGCTACCATATACCCTTGTTATTGACTTTGTAACCATGGGAACAAATAAAAAAAATTAAAAAAAAAAAGAAATAAAAAAACGTTTGGGTCATGAGACTCAAACACCGACTGCATATTGTGTCTATTAAGCCAACAGTTTATGTTGTTCAGTGATATGATATCTCAGTTTCACAGGAAGCAGTCAGTACAACGAGTAGACGAATAGTGACCATGGGCACCAGACATTAAAGAAGACACATAGAGGTAGAATTGGACATGTGCTTGTTGTAAGAGGCCACTAGACTAACAACTAGTCTCTGAAATGAACATATTTTACAGAAAAAAAGTTCACTGTAAAAAAATTAATCTTCTTCTCTATAATCTTCAGCGGAAATGGGAAACCAAACTTAATATTACTCTAGCAGATGACTATCTTTGTGACTGTTTTGCACTGATAAATAAAATTACCATAGAAAATAAATCCAGGAATTTTCAGTATAAACTTATTCATCGAATAGTTACAACTAAGTCATTTTTGTTTAAGATAGGTATCAGTGATGATAATGCCTGTACCCTCTGCAACAAAGAAATAGAAACTTTAGAACATTTATTTTATTTCTGTGAAAAAACAAAACACCTTCTCTCAACATTTGTTGAGTGGTACCGGTACAAAACTAGCTGTAATATAAGTATAAATGTTAAACCTTTCCTGCTGGGAGACCCGGAGGCACCTGTCCTTATTAACCATCTGTTCATCATTATCAAGAAATATATTAACAAAACAAGATATGACTTTACGGAATTAAATATAAACCAACTTATATATTTCATAAAATACCATTTCAAACTAGAAGAACAAGAACATATTTTCGGAGAAAAGGATGAAAAATTTCGTATGAAATGGAATTCTTTGTTCCCCTTGTGAGTAAAATCGTTCTGCACCCTGTGTCTATACCGCTATCCTTCTCTTTTCAAACTCCTCCTGTCTGAAAAAAAATAAAAATAAAAAAAAATAAAAAATAAATAAATATTGCACTTTTGATTTGCGATTGTACGCTAAAATTTTGTTTATATGTTTTTTCATAAACAGCAATGTATATTATATGTCATGAATAAAAAAAAAAAAAAAAAAAAAAAAATATAATGAAAAGGATCCCTGAGACTTTCTTCTTGGGAAATCTAGACTTGCCATATTTTCTAGACTTGCGTGGGTTTTCTTGGATAAGTTTGCTTCAGGGTGTGTATGACAGACTAAGAGGTCACTAACGGTATCGCTTATTCAGGCTAGCTGACTTGGTTGATGCATGTCATCGTTACCCCGTTGCGCAGAACGAGTGAGTGAGTGAGTGAGTTTGGTTTAACGCCGCTTTTAGCAATATTCCAGCAATATCACGACGGGGGACACCAGAAATGAGTTGCGCAGAACGATGTTCATGGGTTCAGTCACTGTGATATATGCCACAACAAACCAACAAACCATCAATTGGTGTTATCTTGATATATGTGTTTTGTCAATCCACTGCAATTCTAAATATTCAACGCAAGAGGATAACCAGTA